GAGACGAGTACAAAGAATAGTGTTTCCACACCATCTTCAACTTGTAATGTGTAACTTTATGCGCTCTAAATGAAATAGATGTACATGTAACAGAGAAATAGTAAGATTGAGACCTTGTGTCGCGTGGCCGCTTCGTAGACAGACCAGAAAATGCTCTAAAAGCACAGGCTCGTTTTAAACACTCTCTCGACTTTCATTTAATTCTCATATACTGTGTTTGTTCTTGTTTTTCCCGCGACCACTCGCCGCATGTTTGACCAAAATCTGAGAATAGTCTTCACTTATGTAACCGACTAAAAACTAATATTTAAGCTTAACAAACATTTACAATTGTGAAACATTAAGAGAATTAAGAGATGTTAAAAGCTGCTGGCCACATGATTTCTTAAAGCCAGACGTGACAACGTGCAGTTACAGTCGTACCTGTTTCCTGGAACAAAACTAAAAGGCGGATGCCTGAATCACAAAGACTGAATAAAACGGACTGAATCATCGCTTTCGCTTAAAACAACTGATTTATTATAGTCGTGTTTAGAGACAGGTACAAAGAGAATAGTGTTTCCACACTGTCTTCAACTTGTAACTTTAAGTGTTTTAAATGAAATAGATGTACATGTAACAGAGAAAAAGTAAGATGTGTGTATGTGTGTGTGTGTGTGTGTGCCTTTATACTTAAAAGCCCCACAAAGAGTGTGTGTGTGTGTGTGTGTGTGTGTGCGTGTGCGTGTGTGTGTGCGTGTGCGTGTGTGTGTGTGTGAGTGGAGGAACTGTTTGGAGTAGGCATCCCCTATTTTTAAAAATACTGCAACTACATTTGTCAATATGATACTTTTGTAATATAATGTTTGGTCTTATATTTACTAGGAATTGAATTTAAATAGAATCTTTGTAAAAAATAAGAAAAGTAAAATCATATACACACACCCAATCATATACACGATACACGAGCCACCTTAAAATGTAACATTGTATATAGGTTTTAACAACGTACTGTAGGTATTTTCTACCGCAGGACATCAGGAGTCTGGTGTGGTGTACGCTATTTCATTTAGCTTGATCTGTGCTTTTTAAGCGCAATTAAATTATTCTCAGGAGCCCCTGTGACCCCAGAAGTCCCTCACATGTGTTCTTTCATTCAAGCACGGTTTACGACTCCAAAAAAGTCAGTGGGTATCCGAAGAATACGTATCATACAATGTTTATGTATGTGTGTTCTTGTTTATATGACTTATCAGGATGCAAATTTCTGTAATGACGTGGGTTTATTTGCTTCAGTAACATGTTACTATGCTGTCATATTCTTTAAAATGGGGATAAGTCTCTTTTAGCCTGTAATGTTTATGTATGTGTGTTCTTGTTTATGACTTATCAGGATGCAAATTTCTGTAATGACGTGGGTATTACACTGATATAACAACGTAAATGTGTTTATGATTCAATTTCTGAGTTTTGAGTCCTCATAATTAAGATTGCTTACAAACAATATTTAATTAAAAATGTAAGCATATGCAGAGATTTTTGTGTGACGGGCAGGTGTTTGTACAGTACAAAATCATTACGGCTATGGAGCGTCCCCAGAAAACATAAAAAACAACGTGTGTGTGTGTGTGTGTGTGTGTTGAGACTTGCAAAATCTGTGGGTGAATAAAGAAATAACAAATGTAACTAAAAGAACATAAAATGGATGAGTGTTTGTGTTGAGTGTTTGTGTTTGCGTGTATGTTTGTGTTTCTGCTGAGTGTTTCTGCTGAGTGTTTGTCTTTGCGTGTATGTTTGTGTTTATGCTGAGTGTTTGTGTTTATGTGTGTTTGCATGTATGTTTGTACTTGTGTTGAGACTTGCAAAATCTATGGGTGAATAAAGAAATAACGAATGTAACTAAAAGAACATAAAATGGATATTAAAATATTTAAATGATATGAATAGTAAAGATAATTTTAACATCAAACATATATATAGCCGTAGGTTAAAGATAGTTTATTAGTTTTTTTAAGCAGATGTGATTTTGAGCGGTGACAGAGAACTTAGGAATGTGTAGATTACAACTATAACAGAAGACAATATTTACATCGTCACGGATAGATCTGAAACATGTGTACAAACGCCTAGTACTACTTTTATTTAAACAAAACATAACATAATGGTTTGTTCGAACTCCGTGAGAACATCTGTTTAATCAGATTGACATTGTGAGATAAAACATAACCAAATTAAAAAATGGATGAATAAAGGTTAATTATTATTTAAAATAGATGTGATATTAGCTAAACGCATTTTAAACCCCGTTTGAGACGGAAATTAGATACGATGATCAAAACGAACTATTGCTTCACATCATGACGGCGTAGACCACTAAGCCGATGTGGACCATGTAAGCATGCCATGCTTAAAATAAGTGAAAGTGTGAAAGTGACGTGACATGTGGCCAAGTATGGTGACCCATACTCGGGATTAGTGCTCTGCATTTACCCATCCAAAGTGCACACACACAGCAGTGAACACACACACACACCGTGGACACACACCCGGAGCAGTGGGCAGCCATTTATGCTGATACTGTTTGAATGACAGCTTGGTAAATCTGTTGGCGATCAAATATTCAATATCACTACTCATCATAACTACTAGGTACATTATCAGCGCAGCGGGAGACGTTCAAACTAATATCACGTAATTTACGTCTCTGTGATGATTGGTTGATATCAGAAGGGAGGCTAGCCTCCCTTTGCGAGGTTTCTTTTCTCAACACTCCTCAGCGCTGAAAGTGAACACTCGATGCTGATTGGCTCATTTTTTTTACCAACGGAGGCACGAGAGCTCAGCGCTCCCCCGGCCTCCCCCTCCCCTTCTCTATCACCTAGCGGTTGCAATTACATCAGCAGATTCGGCACATTCGCGATAGAAAAGCGGCGCTTTCACGTTATGGTATTACAACTGTGAAATTACAAACAAAAAATACACATTCTGAGACATGAACTGAAATGAATTGTGAATTTTATTAACATTAAATCGTCCTCCTCCCATTTTCACCTCAAAATTATGGGGAGGCTGTGCGAACGTGGGAACGCTCCATTAAAAAGTTCAAAAATATTCCTCAGGAATTCATTTATGGTTTTGTCATCTGCTGGACACGTTCAAACATCTGTTCAAACAACATTTTCAACTCAAAAGTCGATGTCGGAATTTCACGCGCACCGATTTTCACATATGGAAATTATTATTATGTCAGAGGTCACATATGGATATGATTATGAGGTCAAAGGACAAAGTCATCAATCAAAATGACGTTTGGTATCGGGTATTACTACTTCGGAATTTCTTCAATTGTTCCTGGATGTTCAGTTGTAGTTCATTTAGTTTCTCCTTATTGTATGCAGATTGGATTTCTTTCTCACACTCCAGGATAGAAGTTTTTACAGCAGAAAGTTCCTTCGAGGTATGTTCGACGATTAATAACATCAAATGGTTCAGAATTTCACACCAGCGTTGACAGAAGTCCGGATTTTCTTTGCCAATGGTAGGGGCTTGTTCAGTTCGAAGACCTCTGGGAATGCGTCCGCATCGATGATATTCACTCAGAGTTTTAGCGTGTCGTTCAAGGCGTATCTCTTTTTGGTGCAGTCGTGAAAGTCTTTCTTTTAAAGAATCAAATGATTCCATGCATCGGTCTTCACGATCATCTACATTGCTGGGATATAAAGTTCTTGCTTTATCTCCTGCATTAAAAGTGAAAGTTTTTGCTCTGGTGTCAGTGAGTTTGGCGACTGCTTCACACGACATGCTGCTGTCTGCAGGTGTAATTCCTATACTCCCATCTCAACACGCTCTCAACACGCTCGCCCAGCTGTTGTAGGAGCAAAGACCTGTTTCTTATATCAAACGTTGCTCAAGGTCTGCACTCTAAAAATCTCTTTATTGTAGCAGGAGATAAAAACAAATTACAAACGTTTCGGCTCGCTGCCTTCGTCAGTGTGACAAGATCCCAGTAACTCAATGATTATATCAAGACCAATAAAGACCAACAGGTGGCAGTAATTAGACTTCCAAGCTCACAGACTCCAGTGGCCTCATTTATAAAATGTTGCGTATAAACCGTCCCAAATTTGTTCTAAGATCATTTCTCAAAAGTGCGTAAGTGCGATTCAGAGAAAACGAACCTGCGCATAGAAACACGTGTGTATGCCTCTCTTCAGGATGTGACGTTTATAAATCACAAATGATCGTGAAATTGTGCGCAGCTTGACTGGTGTCAGATCTCCGCCCCCTAATTAATATCATTACCATATAAAAGAGCACACGCCAATATCCGACTTTCTATGCTTGAGAACGACGAGCACAAAGAAAATAAAAACTGTACTGAGTCTGAAACTGAGGTCCTGCTGGCGGAGCTAGAGGTTCCTGCGGGACACTTTATTTAATAATGTGTAATTATTCTGTGGACAAACAATGTGTGAGTGGTCATATTTTTTCTATTGACTATTATCAAAATTACTTCTTCCAGAAACAACAGAAATAAGAACAATAGTAATTATAAAATGATTAGGTTTCCAAAAGTAAGAATAAACTACGAATTCAAGTAAAATTTTCAGTCATCTTATAAAAAGTGAGGTGCCTGTGTAACGGGGTTGTCTCTGCGTTGTGTTGTGTAAAACTCAGGATGGATACCAATTCGCGCTTGAAGACAGACTTTTATTCTGTTGACAACATATTAAACAGCGGTGATCAGATTCGCAAATCACCCTCGTGCATGCTTTATAATAAGGTGAACAAACTTGATGTTACCACAAATATAATGTAGCATGAACACCAATCATACAGTATTCATTTAAACACACGTATTTATCAATATTAGTCTATAAGATGGTTATACAATTAGTACAATATACTTTTATCACAGAGCACTAACTCACCGCAGCCAGTCACCCTCTCGGCTGGCGCGAATCTAAATTACTAACATTTATATAAACAGTTATACAACAACACAATTGAGAAATATGTACCTGTTGACAACATATTAAACAGCGGTGATCAGATTCGCAAATCACCCTCGTGCATGCTCTATAATAAGGTGAACAAACTTGATGTTACCACAAATATAATGTAGCATGAACACAAATCATACAGTATTCATTTAAACACACGTATTTATCAATATTAGTCTATAAGATGGTTATACAATTAGTACAATATACTTTTATCACAGAGCACTAACTCACCGCAGCCAGTCACCCTCTCGGCTGGCGCGAATCTAAATGACCCTACCGGAACTAGTTCATTATCTGGGTGGAGCGTGCAGGTAGAGTGCAATTAAAGGGACCATACATGAAAATTAGTGTAGCAAGTGGAAACACCTTTTTGACCCTGTTACACCTGTAATAAAGTGCAATAATGTCTACTGTTGAGATCTTTACTGGCCTGAAGTGACCATGTTTTCCTCACTCGATGGAAAATAAAGTTTGCTGTTATTTCATAAAGAACAATAACAAATTATTATTTTTCTAACTAAACTGAAAACTCTCAGATTTCATTAAACGTATCTTCATTTCTGTTTTGGAATGACATGAGTGTGAGTAAATCACTATTTAGATTTTTTGGATGAACTGTCCCTTTAAAAAGACTCATAATTAAAATTGTTATGGAAAGTTCAACAAGTTCACAAATACAAACTTATAAGACTCCAGATTCTGCCAGGATCAAATTTTGTGTGTATGTGAGAGTATTAATCACTCTTGCAAAGACCTTTAAATATGAAACTGACTGATTGTTTCTGCTGTCGGATACTGGACACAGATTGCTACTCAACTTTTGAAGTACAGCTTTTCTCACTGGATCAGGCAAACTCGTTGGTAGTAGCAGTAGTGTACCGTCCTCCGAAAACAAACAAAGTCTTCCTAAATGAGTTTTCTGACTTCATAGGTGTGATAACTCCCAAATATGAGAGACTTTTAATTGTTGGTGATTTTAACATTCATGTATGCTGTGATTCCTCAGCACTAGCCAAAGACTTTGTGAATCTTATGGAAGTGATTTTGTTCAATGGGTAAATGAGCCAACTCATGTACATGGCCATATACTTGATCTGGTTTTAGCTCATGGTTTCCCTATCTCAGATGTTCAAATTGGTGATCTTAGTTTCTCAGATCATAGACCAGTTGTATTTAGTGTTGATCTTTCATGTCATATCACTACACCTGTTAGACCTGTAAAATGGTCACGTGTAGGTTTATCCTGTCCGGCCTCTGCTGAAGCCTTTTCTGCTGCATTTTTTGAAGCTGGTCAGATGTTTCCTATTGGACATCTAGCAAATACAGTAGACATTGATAAACTACTCAATGTATTTAATTCTCTGTGTACCAACGTGCTTGATACTGTTGCCCCCTGGAGACTTAAACATCAGAAAAATAAATTTGAGCCATGGCTGAACAGTAACACTCGCCATCTAAGACAAGCTTGCAGAAGAGCAGAGCGCAGATGGAAAAAGGATAAGCTGCAGGTGTCCTATGAAATACTACGGGAGTCTTTAATATCATATCAGAAAGCTGTCAAGGCTGCTAAGTCTTTCTATTTCTCTGAGATAATTGCTAAAAATTCAAATAATCCTAGGATCTTGTTTAATATTTTAAATTCTGTTTTTAACCCTGTAGGAAACAATTTTCTCACTGAATCTTCCTCTCTGTGCGAAAAATTTCAGAGTTTTTTTATTGACAAAATAGTAGTTATTAGATGGTCTATATTACCCTCATCTGTTGATCCAGCCGATCCTGTTATGGCCACCAGGTTTTTAAACTCTTTTGACCCAATTACCATGTCTTGTCTAACAGACATAGTCAACAATTTGAACCCTACTACCTCTTCTCTTGACATTGTTCCTACTCATTTTTTTAAACAGATATTTGACAGTGTTGGGGCATGGATCCTGTTAATTATCAACAAAAGCCTTCTCTCAGGATCTGTTCCTGCTCTTTGTAAACATGCCAGAGTGAGACCAATATTGAAAAGACCTAATTTGGACATCACTGATTTATCAAATTTTAGACCGATTTCTAATTTACCTTTTATATCTAAAATTCTAGAGAAAACAGTGCTACTGCAATTACAGAGCTTCCTTGATGCAAATATTATCCTTGATAAATTTCAGTCCGGTTTTAGGACAAACCACAGTACTGAATCTGCACTATTAAGAGTTTTGAACGACATTCTGCTATCTGTTGACTCCGGAGACTCAGTAATTTTAATGCTATTAGACTTTAGTGCAGCATTTGATACTGTTGATCATGCCATTCTATTGTCACGTCTTGAACATTATGTGGGCATCCGTGGAAGTGCCCTCAGTTGGTTTAAATCTTTTCTTACTGACAGGACCTTTTCAGTTGGCATTGGAGGCTCCGTCTCATCCATAGCTCCTCTTACCTGTGGTGTTCCTCAAGGATCAATTTTGTCTCCAACTCTGTTTTCATTATATATGTTACCTCTAGGTTCTATTTTTAGAAGGCATGGAGTATCTGTTCACTTCTATGCAGATGACACTCAAATTTATCTGCCTTTTAAGCACACTGACAAGAAGGGCTTAGAAACCTTGCTTGCCTGTCTAAATGACATAAGATCCTGGATGTCCTCAAATTTTCTACACCTTAATGCGAGTAAAACTGAAGCAATTGTGTTTGGGCCCTCTGTGGGGAAAGAAAAAAACATTGTCAATGTTGGAAATCTGCACTCTTATATCAAACCAACTGTGAAAAGTCTGGGAATAACTCTGGACTCCTACTTTAAGTTTGATCAACACATAAACACAGTAGTTAAGTCAGGCTTTTTTCATCTGAAACTCCTGTCTAGAGTAAAGCCGTTTCTGTCCCCCAAAAATCTTGAAAGAGTCACACATGCTTTCGTTTTATCTCGATTGGACTACTGTAATTCTTTATATGCTGGAATTTCCCAGTCCTCTATTACAAGGCTTCAAATGGTGCAAAACGCTGCAGCCAGATTTCTAACGGGAGTCCGCAAATGCCAACATATTACTCCTATTTTAATGGCTCTAAATTGGTTGCCGGTTCGTCATAGAGTCGATTTTAAAATATTGATGTTTGTTTTTAAATCCCTTAATGGTCTTGCACCCTCGGACCTGTCTGAACTTTTAAATCTGAACACATCAGTCAGGTGTCTGCGGTCCGCAAACAATTACTCTCTAGCTCAGCCTCGAACACGACTGAAGTCAAGAGGGGATCGTGCATTTGCCGTTGTTGGACCTAGGCTCTGGAACAGTCTTCCTTTTTATTTGAGATCCCTGTCCTCTGTGCATGAGTTTAAATCGAAGTTAAAATCTTATCTTCTGGCCCGAGCTTTTTAGCAATTCTTAATTATGTTCTATTTATTTTTTTATCTTATTGTTTTCTTCTTTATCTGTATCTTAGTTTTATATTCTGTAAAGCACTGTGGTCAACTCCTGTTGTGTTTATTTGTGCTATATAAATAAATGAAATTAAATGAAATGAATGCTAACTTTGAATGTCTCGTAATAGGCCCCTTTGCTACTGCAGCTGATCTGTAGTTTATAATGTCCAGTATGTTCACATTTCATGTTTCTGATGGTCAGAGATCCGGTCCACTTGTCCAGCTTCAGGACCATCAAAAGTCTTTCTGGACCCCCCGTCCTTTGAGCCATCAGAGTCTCTTGATCTCCAAACATCCACACGATAAGCTCATCTTTCTGTATTTCAGTACAACAGTTGAGAGTAATAGACATTCCCTCCATCACAAATGTAGTCTCCTCTTCGTCTTTTACAGCAGTACATAGAAAGAGAATGGGGTTTAATTTGATATAGTTAGACGATGTGTAAAGCTGAAAACAGATGGGTTTTACACTGCTTAGTAAATCTCTCCATCCTTACTCGTGCAAACACATTTATTTGATCATGTAGTTCATTGATTTTGAATCTTATATTTCTAAAGATTGAAATTACCTACAAAACAAAGTCTCTAGCTAAGAAGTTTGACCTGAATTAATTGTAGAAGACAGAAGGAATAAAGACTAGAGCTGACCGTAACCACTGACGGTAATGCAGAATATCTCATCTGAAAACCCGCTTCTGTGTTTCATTCTTTATGTGGATGACATTTTTAAATTCAATAACAAAAGTAACGTTGTATGTTAACATAAGTAAAAACGATCTTTTATATGAATTAACAATAAACAATATTTCAGCTTTTCTGGATTAATGTTTATTTATATACTGTATATTTAACATCTGGGGTCTGTTCTTTCATCTGTTGATTACTCAGTTAGCAGGATTTTATTGTTGATGATTTGACATGATCCAGGATTAAGTTCATCGAACCTCATCCTGGAGTTGCTGTCATAGCAACAGGTCTCTAAACTCAATTCATATTCATGTAAACAGGATTAGATGGTACCATTTCAAGTGAAGATGATGCTGAAAGTCTGTCCATTATTGCTATTTTCTTACAGGAGCATACTATTAAATCACACAGCAGAATATTGCTGAAGTGAAAGCATATAAAGAAAATATAAAAAAGTTCTAGAAGTTTAAGTTTACAGTAAAGAAAATATAGTATACTAAAACTTTATTTTACATAAAATAAATATTTTATAAAATATATTGCACTCTAAAATTGCTATAAAATTAAAGCCATATGTCTAACCAAGTTATGTTCCAAATTTGAAGTTGATATCACAAAAATTGAGAGATTTTGTTTGGGTGCTGTACCAAAAATAACCACCGGGTGACACCCAAACTCTACTGAATTTTTTTTACGCATTTTTCTGTCCCAAATCAATCAATTTCTGTCACATCACTTCTATCACAAAACAGTCACCAAATATAAAACCTTGACTGTCAGATCTTTCCAACGATATGTTTTGTCAGCATTAAAAAAGATTTGATTATAAAATAGCATAGTAAATTTTGTAGTATGAAACTTGACACCATCCACTAGGGGGAGGAGCTAGCTAAGAGGATTTTAAAGTACTGTTTCCATGGTAACGCAATGTCTGATTCCAAAACGGTTCTCACAGGATGAATTTTGTGTTTTTAAGCTTTCAAATTCCCTAGTTCAGGGTGATTTACTAAAATATTTGATAGAGTAAAAACGCAATTAAAAAAAAAAAGAGTGCCAAGCATCCCGGCAGCGGAACAGTGACAGTTTAAGGAATAAGAGAAACTTCATCCAATGTGAAATGCTCAAAGTGAAACCGAAAGTGTTTACGAATGAAATTACACACTTACCGCACATTAAATGTGAAAAACAGAAAGATCTTTAAAGTCTTCCTCATATTGCAAATTCCATCAAAATCTGATATTAACACCGAACCACTCCCACCCGGCTGACAGCGACATTTGTTAAAAAT